GGCGGGCGCCGGCGGGGCGGGCGGGTGGGCGCGAGGGGGGGGGGGGTGAGGAGGAGGAGATCACCTGTACCATCTGGGCCTGGTTGCGGGGGGGGGGGGGAAGGAGGTGGTTTCAGGTGGGAGAAGATGCTTTCCTCCTCCCCCTTCCCAGAGAAAGGTCCCGTTTGGAGATGGAAGGGGAGTGGACTTCGAGTCCCACAATCCCCCAGCCACCATGCTTTAAGCTACATGGACTTCAACTCCCATAATCCCCCGGCCACCATGCTTTAATATGGGATGGACTTCAACTCCCAGAATCCCCCAGCCACCAAGCTTTAAACTACATGAACCTCGACTCCCAGAATCCCCCAGCCAGCCAGGTTTAAGAATGATGGACTTCAACTCCCAGAATCCCCCAGCCACCAAGCTTTAAGCTACATGGACTTCGACTCCCAGAATCCCCCAGCCAGCCAGGTTTAAGAATGATGGACTTCAACTCCCAGAATCCCCCAGCCACCAAGCTTTAAGCTACATGGACTTCGACTCCCAGAATCCCCCAGCCAGCCAGGTTTAAGAATGATGGACTTCAACTCCCAGAATCCCCCAGCCACCAAGCTTTAAGCTACATGGACTTCGACTCCCAGAATCCCCCAGTCGGCATGCTTTAAGGTTGATGGACTTCAACTCCCAGAATCCCCCTGCCAGCAGGGAATTCTGGGCGTGGAAGCCCCAAAATCCAAATTGTGCGTATCGTGTGACCCAGAGCCCCAGCCATCTCCGCTCCCTCACCAGGTCCAAACTGGGAGCTGGAACCAGTTTAACCAGTAGAACCCAACCCCACAACACCCTCTTCAGCTTCTTCTCTGAATGTGCTCAACCACAGGCAGTCCTCGACTTGTAACAGTTTACTTAGTGACCGAAGCAGCAACTGGGTCACTGAGAAAAGGGACAGTGGTCCGTTTTTCACACTTACGACCGGCTGCAACCTCTCCGTGGGAGAGGGGGGATGTCACATGATCAGAATTCAGACTGTTTCGCAACAGTCTCGTGTTTATGACGGTCAGCAGTAAGTTGTGACCGTCCGACCAGCCAAGTCGGATTCGCTTCATGATCTTGGTGACTTGCTGAAGGACCGCAGGGATTCCCTTAACAATGGGGGCAAGAGAGAGGTCATCCAATGGGGCTCACGGATATCTCGCTTAGTGGCAGAGATTGTGGTCATAAGCCGAGGACTGCCTGTAGGACAGCGTGCAAGGAAACAAGGACGGTGCGTTTTTGAACCCCTTTGCATTCCACGTCGTTTGTTGCGGTGGCTTTTCTTTTATTTTTGACATCTTCCTTCCCCATGCACACAAAAACTCACACAGACTCACAACTCCAAGGAGCAAATTTCATGCAGAAAACACAATTGCCCCTCTCACAAAAGACAACAACTTTGGGGAGCTGCAACCTATGTCAAAGATGCGACAGGGTTCCCGCAAGTTTCTTCCATGCAAAGCTCATTGTTAAAGGGGAGAGGGGCCGGTTGAATGGTTTACCCCAGGGGTCGGCAACCTGCAGCTCTGGAGCCACGTGCGGCTCCGGAGCCACATGCAGCACTTTTGGCCTTCTGCTGCGGCTCCCTGTCGACTGATCCCACCACTGGCTGGCCCCGCCCCTCCCCGTCATTCCTCGCCTGGCCTAAGAAGCTTAAGGGTGATGGCGGGGGTTGGAGACTCGGTCCATATTCCAGAGCAGGGTAGGTCTTACTTTTGGGGAATCAAGATAGATTCGAAGTTACGTTGCTAACAGTCAACGGTGGAACCAAATTTTGCTCCAGGGTGTTGGACCGCCAAGATTTCCACTGAGTGGGAAAGTGGCCTACAACCTCAGAAGGTTCTCAAGAGGTTCCATAGCTAAATAGTTGTGGTCTACAGCCCCACCAGAGCCTTCCAACTCCACAGGTTCCTTCCCTCGAGGAGCGTTAGTGACCACAAAACAGACACACACACAACACAAGGCTCCAAAGCACAACACAGACAGAAGAAGCTTGAGTGGGTCCCGGCGGACCGAGGTCAGTTCCAGAACTGGTTAGCATGGTGACGCCAAGCAAGCTGGGTTTCTCGCCAAAGACAGCCCCCATGACGCGGTTCATGCCAACCAGGTTAGGTGCTCGTGCCAACGCGAGTAAACATGGGAGCATGTTCTCAGACAATGCCAAGCTGGATGGAGAAGGCTGGGGAGGCCATAACCGCAAGCACACACACACACACACACCTTTGTCTCGCCTGTGGAGGCCATCAGGTCTGGGAGGTCTTCTTCTGCCTAGGTCCGGAGCTCCATCCTTTGGGGAAGGGACAGATGGAGGAGGAAGAGGAAGCCCTCTTGACTTGGTGGGTCTCATGTAGCCTTTCATTGGTGGTGGAGCTTTGGCCCGGCTTGCTTTCTCGGTCTCGCCTGTGGGCCTGTGGCCATCATGATCAGCGACAGCCGGAGAAATTGACGCTTCTGGTTCTCGGGCTGCCGATCTCAAGTTCGGCGCATCCTGGGCTTTTCCAAGTTGTCCCGTCTCCTCCTTGCTGGCTGGTTGGAGGAGAGGACCTCCCTTGGCCAGGTTCTTGTCGTCCGACACCAGATGATCGGAAGCGAGCCCACTTCCTCCCACTTCCTCCAGAAGGACGTCCTCCAGGACCTTATCTGTCCTTGTCTGACTTCCTAAACGGTCCGGATGCTCAGAAGGCCTTGCTTCATCTTCTCGTCTATCTTCTGCTAACACTCCTGGCTCAGAAGTTCCACCACCATGGAAGACAGTCATTACAGTCTGAGGAGCTGACACTTCCTCCTTGGATTCCTTAAGAGTTTGGGTTTCCATAGGGAGGTCACTGCCTTCTCCAACCCAACCTCTTCCTTCAGCCACCAGCCCAGGAGCCGTCTCTAGCTTCTCCACCGCCATTTCTGGTGAACCAAGTCCATAGCTTTTGTCTCCAAGGTACGTTCCTCCGCTTTGCTCCTCCGTTTTGAAAAGACGGTCTGCCGGGGTACGCTTGTTCTTCTTCCTCTTCTCCCGGATGTCATCCCCAGCTTTCACGACCAGGGAAGCTTCTGCCTCTTGACCGTCAAGTTTGGCCAAGTCCTCTTGGAGCTCCTCCAGGATCTTCTGATCCCCTGGCTTGGTGGCTTGTAGGAATTCGGGAAGAAAAAATGGCTCCTGGCTTGGCTCGCCAGCCAACTTGGGGAAGTGAGCTTCTAAAAACGGGCAGGTGGGACCTCCAGTTTTGGACGTGGCTTCCTCAAGAGGTCCAGCTGGGTCAAAGACATTTGTGAGGTCCTCTTCCCAATGCAGCGGACGGCCAGGAGGGAAGCTTTTGATGTTCCTGTTTTCATCGACGACCTCTGCTTCTCCTATGTTGAAGCTCAATCCACCAAGCCTCTGAGGTTCTTCTTCATGGCTGACCTCTTCCTTAGTTGGTTGGGCAACCACAGGTTCCTGAGGGATATTCTTGCTTTTCTTCTCGCCACTCTTCTTCTTTTCAGGTTTCACAAGTGGGGGTTGAAGATCTGGAAGATCAGGGACCCCATCTTTTTTGGTCTTCATCTTTCTCTCACCTTCTTCTATGACTGTCCCGGTATCCAACTTGCCCAGCAAATGGACGGATGGTTCCAAAGTACGCACATCTTGTCTACTCTTTCCTTTCTCTTGTCCTCCAAAAGTGTCATCAACGAAGAGCTTGGCAGGAACCTGGCCTGTAGGTTCTGGATGCTTGAGATGTTCCGACCTCTCTTTCCTGGTGCCATCAAAGGCGGGGACCTCCTCCATCTTAACTCCTTGGCGGTGTTCACCAGAAGGTTCTGCCTTCATCTCCAAGACTTTAGGAACTTGAAGACTTTGACCATTGGTCTCCTGTTTCTTCACTTCTTCCAGGACTTGAGGGAGGACAGAATGTGGCTTGGGTGGACCTTCTCCAACTTGATCTCGGCTGGCTTCCTGCTCCTTAGATGGTGTTTCTTTGATTTTATGGAGTTCTTCTGTCTTAGGAGCGCTGACTTTCTCCTTCAAGATGGACAGCTGCCCAAAGCCAACCTTCTTCTCCTCTTTTCCTCCCGTCGTTCCTGGCGGTTTTTCAGCAGGGATTTGGAGGGTGCCGGGAAGTTCTAGCCCTTGGCTCTTCTTCTCAGGAGAACCTTTGTTAACTAAATCATTGTTCTTTGAAGACACCGTCCCATCCAACGTCTTCTCCAGGCCCAGTGGGGGTTCCCTGGAGGGACCTTTGTGAGATGTCTTGCTTTTCCCATCGCTGCTTCTCTTCTTGGGTTTGTTGGTGGCACACACAAAGGCGGGGTCTCCTCCAGGGGAGCTTGCCAAGGGGGGTCCCTTGTTTTGATTTGGCCCGCCTGTTTCCTGGCCTTGGACCGTCGACTCCAAGAGAAGCTGGCCTTCTGTCTGCTTTCCAGGGACCTCCAAGATAAAGGGATATGCTGATGGAGGAAGGTCAACCCTTTGACCAGGTCCAGTTGGAGAACTTCCAGGGTTTTCACTCAAGGTGACAGACGGTGGGCTTGATTGCTTCACACCGTCTGTAGTGCTGTCCAACTGTTGGCTTGTAGCTAAGACGTTCATCCCTTCTTTCGGTTCATCTGGTCTCTGTTGGGTTTGGTCAAACATCTCATGAACTTCTGTGGTAGAGACAAATGGTTGCCTGAAGGAGCTCCTGTCCTCAGCTCTTCTGCTCTTCCCCATGCTAGATCTCTTCTTCGGCTTCTCTCTCACTCCTGGAGAGGTGGAAAAAGTCTCTTCAGGGGTCCTGGTTGTCCAACCAATTTCGCCCAGGCCCTCAATGTCTACCGCCGTTGAAGCTTGGCTCAAGCCAACCTTCTCCTCCAACTCTGGGAGATGCTTTCCTTTCCTGCTTTTCCCATCACTGCCCCTCTTCTTGGGTTGGTCGTGTCTCAACCTGAGACTGGTTGGATGTTCTGGAGGGCGGACATCGAGGAGGTCTCCTGTTGGGCTGGTGAAGAACAATGGGCCACCACCAAGAGTATCAGCAGCAAACAAGGGTTGGGCTGGATCTGACTTGGTTTCCACCACGAATGGAGTTTTGGCAGAATGAAAATCAGATCTTCTGCTCCGTGGTCTTTCTTTGAGGGTCCCTGAGACATCTGTGCTTTCTTCTCTGTCTTGAGGAAGAGAAGAAGTCCCTTCTTGGGTTGGCTCGGCTGAAAGAGTCGCAACTTCTTTGACCTCACTGTCCTTCTTGAAGATCTTCTCAAGATCTTTAGGTGCCTCCACCGACTCGCCTTTCCTTTCAAGACTTGGAAAGCCTGGAGCAACCTTCTCATGGGCAACCCCGGGGTCTACAGTCTGGACCTCAGCCTTCTGCCCCACCCCAGCAGAGTTGGTCTCCAAAGTTGAGGCATCGACATTGGAGTTCTTCAGAGTCGGAGACCCCAACGGTACCCTTTTCTCAACGGGACTTAGTTCTCCAGGACCTGGAGGAGAAGTTGGACTTGCCTCCTTCTTCTTCTTCTGCTCCATGTGGTGCTTCGGAAGCCCCTCAGAAAGTTCTCCTTTGGGACTCAGGGGCTGCCATGCCAAGCCGTCGTCCACGGCCAGTTTGACTCGGCTCAATTCTCCCGGGGGGTTGGGGTCCGATGCAAATTTGGAAGATTCTTCCATCTTTGCCGGAGGAAGTGGTGGAAGCTGATGGCTGTCCGGTTGTTGTCCTCCTTTCCCGAGAACTTCGGTGGAGGCCCACAAGGCTGCTTGAGGACTTCCCTGGAGAACGTCTGGAGGTTCGCCAGCAGCCGGAGGGCTCCTTAACTTCTTTGTGTTGTCCTCCCACGTTTCCACGCCACGTGGCTGCTGCCCTTTCTTCTGCTTGGCCTTCTTCTTCTTCTTCTTCAAGGCAGCCGATGAGTCAAGAGGGTCCCATCCCTCCTGCAAGAGCTCCCTTCGACCTTCTGGAACGTCAAAAGCCTGGCCGGCTCCCTTCCTCGGAGATCTCCTGGGACGGGGAGAAGTTCCACCGACGGAGCCAAAGTCGGCCACGAAAAAGGAGTCTCCACTTCTTGGGCTGTGAGTCTTCAAGGTGGGAGAACCTGCCAGTTGATCTTGTGGAACATCTGCCAGAGTCACCTGGACAGGTTTTGCTCTGCCAAACCTGCGGTGGTCACTGGGTTTGGCAGCGTGTATTATTTGGGCGGGAGGTCCACCTGGAATACAGGAAGGTCACTGAAGGATCAGAACCCACCACGAATCAAGAATCACGCTCCCAATACTTAGACTGGATTGGGGGGTTTTGGGGGGGGGAGGGGTTTAAGCTTTGCTGATCCCAGCCTAGATCCCACGTCAAGGATCAGCTTTGCTGAAGAGCTACCACATCTCCCTCAAATCCTCGTCCTCTTCATTGAACGAGCCCATAATCCCTTGCGGGGGTGGCGTCTGGGTAACTGAATGGAGCTTAGCAGAGTGTTTGAATGGCCAGATGCCCTTCCTGTCACCAGAGCGGAGTTTTGTTCAGCAGACATAGCCTCAGTGTGCCCAGAGAGAAAGAAATATCCACTTCTACCTAGGATCGAATTCACAGCCTCCGGATTGTGAGGCAAGAGCCATCGTACCACTCCATCACATCTACCTCAATAAATAATATAACCTTTATTGTCATTTCCCCCCCCCCCCCCCGGTGAGTACACTGGCCCACATGAAAGTCTATTGCCTGCTTTCCAAAAAATGTATGTATCTAACCATACATGTACATAACTCAGTATGTACATACATATTATTATTATATAATAATATTATATTATATTATGTACATACATGTACATAGCTCAAGGTTAACAGCACCAAAGTTAATTGCAGAAAATGCGACTTCAGCCACAGAGTGGTCAATGTCTGGAATCCTCTACCTGACTCTGTGGTTTCTTCCCCAAATCCCAAAAACTTTAACCTTAGACTGTCTACTATTGACCTCACCCCTTTCCTAAGAGGCCTGTAGGGGGCGTGCATAAGCGCACCAATCGTGCCTACCGTCCCTGTCCTATTGTTTCTTTTTATTTTTCTTATAAGTATCTATCTCACGTATTCAAAACTGTATTTATTCTTATACCTGTATCTTGTAAGCGATTGACAAATCAAATAAATACTTAAAAATAACCTACATATACACTTGCTATAAAAATGCCATATTTTATACATATTAATCACTGTCCATTTTGAATACGTAGCCGAAAGAGGAAACCTCGAAGTTCGCCAGGTTGATGCTATACGGAAGAAAACTGGAACTGAATCTGGATGTTTGGCTTTGGATACCATAGAGCTTCCTCCCAGAAGGTAACAAGGCAAATTGGTCATGGAGGGGATGTGTTGTGTCCCAGACGATCCTACTCAAGGATCACTTATATGCCACGTTTTGGATAGAAGGAAGTGAACTACCAACTACTTTTCCACTGTCCTCACCACTCTCTGTTCAGACTTCCTGTCTGCTCATCATCTCCTTTTAACAACCCCGTAATCCCTTGCGGGGGTGGAGTCTGGGCAACGGAATGGAGTGGAGTGTTCACTGGACGGATGCCCTTCCTGTCACCAATGCAGAGTTATATTCAGAAGATATATTCTCAACATGCCCTAACAGGGATGTTTTTAATCCACTGTTAATGTATTATAATGTGTCAGTACTTTTTTATATACCTATTGTAAATAGTGATGTCTATTGCTGGTCTAAGACTGTAATGAAGTTATATTCTACTCTACTCTACTCCATTCCATTCCACCCCATTCCATTCTATTCTATTCTATTCTATTCTATTCTATTCTATTCTATTCTATTCTATTCTATTCTATTCTATTCTATTCTATTCCATTCTATTCCATTCCATTCCAATCCATTCCATTCCGTATATTCTATTCTAATTCTATTCTATTCCTCTATTTCTATTTCTATTCCTCTATTTCTATTTCTATTTCTATTTCTATTTCTATTTCTATTTCTATTTCTATTTCTATTTCTATTCTATTCTATTCTATTCTATTCTATTCTATTCTATTCTATTCTATTCTATTTCTAATTCTATTCTATTCTATTCTATTCTATTCTATTCTATTCTATTCTATTCTATCCTATCCTATCCTATCCTATCCTATTCCCAACATGCCCAGAGACAGAAATATCCGCTTCTACCTAGGATGAAACTCACAGCCTCCGGATTGTGAGGCCACAGCTCCACTTCTTGGCCACCGCACCCCTCAATGCTTCCCAACCACTGTCCTGTCCCCCCGCTCTCTATTCAGCCTTCCTGTCCGAAGCTGTAACGCTGTCCTCAAGGCTCTCTCTCTCTCTCTCTCTCTCTACAGCAGGGGTGTCAAGCTCAATTTCATTGAAGGCTGCCTCAGGGTTGAGTTCGACCTGCGGGGGGGGGGGGGGGGGGGGGGGGGGGGGGGGAGGGTGTGTGTGACCAGCTTGATGTCATTCATCAAAGGCTCCGTTTGCAGCTTGTGACAGCCTCCTGCAGCCCTCCCCAAGTGGAAACGGAGCCTGGGCGGACTGTGGGCGGCCTCCCCAAGCCCCGTTTTCACCGGCAGAGGCGCTGCAGGCTGGTCCTTCACCGTTTCCAGGGCAGGCCTGCGGGCCTCGAGTTTGACACCCCTGCTCTATAGCCGTTCTGTTTGAAGCCGTAACGCTTCAAAACTCCACTGTCCTCACCACTCTCTCTACAGCCGTTCTGTTTGAAGCTGTAATGCTTCCAAGCTCCACTGTCCTCACCACTCTCTCTACAGCCGTTATGTTTGAAGCTGTAATGCTTCCAAACCAGACAGTAATCCAACAGGACGTGCTCCATTGTCCCTCTTTAGCAGGAATGTTAAACACAAGATGGGGTGGGATCCGCTCCACGGGGCATCCTGGAAAATGTAAGGAGCCGGCCTGCATCGCTTCGGCCTGATCTACCCAATGCAGAGAGGAAACATGCCAGGAGTTTGGAGAGTGGTGTCAAGCTGGCCATGCCTACCCACTCGGCCATGCCCCCGGTGCCCCCCGCCCAAGGTCAACCACAGCCCTGATGCGGCCCTCAATGAAATGGAGTGACACCCCTGCTGTCAATTCATAATATATTTATATGGTCTTCTTAGAATTGCCAACAGAAAGGGAGGGGGGGAAGGGGTTTGAAAGAGCAGTGTGGCAGCTTGGAAATAGAAAGTGCATTCCATGAATAATTTTTCAGAGATAGTAACCAGGTGACTTGAAATTTCTGCCGTGCACAATTCTAACTGGAGCAATGTGATTGATGACTCTGGGCTATGGATGTGTCTCATTGGAGAATATGAATTGTGATGACACCTGGGGGAAACCAGGGTCAAGGGTGACAATGAATTAGGTGTCTCAGAGTCGGCTACACCCAGGCAATGCCGGACATGTTAACTCCCATAAATCCTTTTGAAGTTTTGGAAGTTTGGCTCCGAGACTCATGATTTAATTGGGGTAACTGCCAGAATCTTGACATCTATTGAAAGTGGTGAGGACACAGATAAACTGATCGAGCAGAATAAATAGATGTTCTTAAGCTTCAATAACCCAACTCTTTAGCTTTTGGTGGCTGTTAGACCATGTCTCCTCTCACCCCGGGGATGGTGGACATTACCACCCAGCGGTGGGAGGTTTGAGGAAGGGCTGCACTTCTTCACTTTGCTAAAAAAGGTTTTCCAGATCCAGGTTGTCTCTTTGACCAGGATCTAGGTCTTGAAAAGCTTCCACTGCAGAAGATGAATATACTGGCAAGCTAAGATGTCTGAGACACAACTAGGAGAAGAAATAACACTAACACTCAGGAGTAGACTGGACAAACGTTTGTCCAAGATGGTCCAAGCCTCCCGCCTCAGACAAGCGGTTGGACTTGAAGACCTCCGAGGCAGGGGTGGGATTAAACCGGTGTAACAAATCGGTTTGGTGAGGGGGGGGTGAGCAACTAAGGGCAGGGGAGGGTGGGCAGGGCCAAATCATTGGCGCAATTACCGGTTCGTCCGAATTGGGCTAAACCGGACGGTAGAATCCCACCCCTGCTCTGAAATCCCTTCCAGCCCTGAGATTCTACGACTCTTCCCGCAAGGTGGAAGTCTCAACTTAAGAGAAGAAAGTCATTTTTCTGGACTTCCACCCAACTCAGCCGTAGATGATCATCCGAACCTCTAAATCTCCCCATGTACCCCAGAGTTCAGAAGAGATATTTAATGGCGAACGATGGAGAACACACAGAAAGTCCTCTTTCACGCAAGTGCAGGCCAACCTCGTGAACGGACCTGCCACAAAGGGTTGATCTTGAGTGTCAGGTTTCTGAAAGTAGGCTAATGGTTCTCGGGAACCTCTCCTCCCCCAGGAGATAGATAGATCCAAAGAAGGTATTTGCCATTGTGTGGGAGACAGGCAGGGCTGGGCTACGACCGATTCACCCTGGTTCGAGCGAACCGGTAGCTAATTTTATCATTTTTAATACCCGCTACAGCGAACTGGCAAATCCCACCCCTGGCCGGGCCCGTCCACCGCGCCCTGCCCCTACCTGGAGTATCCATGTGACCCATTGGGGATGCCAGATAAGTGCAGGGCCCACGTGGAGGGCGAAAAACAGGTTTCCCAAAGGCTCCGAAAGGCTGGAAACGGGCCCATTTTCGGTCTCCTAAGCCCAGGGGAGGCTGTTTTTGCCCTCCCGGAAGTTAAAGGAAGCCTCTGGGGTCCGGGGAAGAGTGAAAACACCCCAACCGGCCGTGGGGCAGGAGGCCGACTAGGCCACGCCCACCACGGGCACACCCACCCAGCAACCAGAGCAGAGAACCGGTTGCTAAAATTTTTGAAGCCCGCCCCTGGGCACAGGTATCAGGGCAACTGAGGTAGAACATATCCAGTTTTGGTGGACAACGTTAACCCGGTCAGGGAGAAAGCAATGAAGGGAGGAGATGTTGTTGTAAGATCCTCCTTCCGGAGCAGAAGACCAGAAGCCAAGAGAAGAAAACTGTAGGATGGAGAAGACAGAGAAGGCTCAGCTCCGGTTTCTCCCTAAGGACTCACCTTCCGGTTCGAGAGGCGGCTTTCCTGCAGTGGGATCCATGGGTTGGGCCAAGGTGGACTCATCGACAAACAACCTCGGAGTTTCCATCTGGAGCTTCTCCCCAAGTACAGAGCCCATCGGGTCTGCTGAAGAAAAAAAAAACCAGGGTGACCACCACAAAATCAGAGAACTTTCTCCAACGACCCAAGACAGCGTGGTCTCGAGGCCAAATTTGGGTCGGTCGCGCCCAAAGAGATGTTCTCCAAAGGCGCTGGAAGAACCGTCTCCAGAACTTCTGGGCTTCCAAGAAACCTGTCAACTCGTAAAATATTTCTATGGTCTTCTTAGAGTTTCCAACAGAAAGGGAGGAGGGGAAAGGGGTTTGAAAGAGCAGTGTGGCAGCTTGGAAACAGAAAGTGCATTCCGTGAATAGTTTTTCAGAGATAGTAACCAGGTGACTGAAGTTCCTGCAGTGCACAATTCTAAATGGAGACCATGATTGATGACTCTGGGCTATGGATGTGTCTCATTGGAGAATATGAATTACGATACACCCAGGGGGTGGGGTGGGGAAAAAATGGGTGAAGGGTGACAAGGAATGATGTGCCGCAGAGTCAGCTACACCCAGGCAGTGCCGGCATGTTAGCGCCTATAAATCCTTTGGAAGTTTTGGAAGTTTGGCTCGAGACTCGTGATTTCATTGGGGTAACTGCCGGAATCCTGACAAAACCTTTCTGAGGATTTCTACAGGGATGTTTTCCAAAGGTGTTGGAAGAACCATCTCCAGAACTTCCTGGGCTTCAAAGAAACCTTTCCGGGGATTTCTGTGGAGGACCTCAAAACCTCTTTAGCGCTAGTCCAATCCCAACACAACTGGAGAAGATCAAGAAACACCAGGAGTAGTTCAGTGGTCTTCGACATTTCTCGTAGACAACTCAAGAAGATCTTGTGCTGAACAGCAGGGCATCGGGACCAGGCAGTGGGCTGCTGGCACCGGTTCGCCCCGGTTTGCCCAAACCGGCTGCTAATTTTATCATTTATTTTATGGCCGGTTCAGCTAACCAGCAAATCCCACCCCTGGCTGGCCTTGCTCAGGAGTCTCCACACAGCACGTTTTGGATCCCAGGTAAGGAGGCTCGGGGAGAGCAAAAAACGGGCCTGCCGTAGGCTCCAGAAGGCCGGAAATGGGCCCGTTTTTGGCCTCCAGGGAGCCTCCAGAGCTCAGAGAAGCCATTTTTGCCCTCTTGGAGACTCGAGGAAAGCCTCTGGAGCCCGGGGAGGGTGAAAACACCCACACCCACCCCGCCGTGGTGCAGGAGGCCAACTAGGCCACACCCACCCAGCAACCGGAACAGAGAACCGGCTGCTAAAATTTTTGAAGCCTGCCCCTGGTTGGGACACAACTCAGGAAGCCAAGGGATGATTACTGTCATGTGCTGAATCCTCTTCTGATTGGTCTCCTAAATAGGTCATGGAAGCCCTTCCCGTTGAGGTTCTCCAATCCCCCCCAAACTCAAAATCTATCAAGAGTGCCCCCCAAAAGAGGTTCAGACTTAGAAAAGAGAGGAAGACAAGATGACAGACCATCACGGAGCTTTGATTGTCTTTTCCCCCCCAACGTTCTCTTTTACCTGCAAGATCTGGAAGATGCTCTCCAGGTTGGGTTGAGGTTGGCTGACTCGGTTCCTTCTGCTGTTCTGCAGATGTGTCGAGAGGCTGCTTCTTCTCCTTCTCATCGAGATGCTCCTGCCCAGGAGGAATCTCCACAGGTTGACTGAGCAAAGGAGGAGACTTCATTTCTGGACTCAGAGAGACCTTGGTTTCTTCTACTTTCTCAGAAGGCTGGGAGGGAGAAAGCGGAGGGGTGTCAACTTTCCATGCAGGAGAAGGTGGAGGTTCGTCATCCTTCTGGACAGGAGGAGAAGGGGAAGATTTATCAGCTTTCCATGCAGGAGAAAGTAGAGGTTCGTCATCCTTCTGGACAGGAGGAGAAGGGGAAGATTTATCAGCTTTCCATGCAGGAGAAGGTGGAGGTTCGTCATCCTTCTGGACAGGAGACCACTGACTTGTCACTTCTTGCATCGGCTGGGCGAGAGCCAGCTTGCTTTGATCGATCTTCTCTACATGTTGGGTAGAAGAACCCTCCAGATCTTCTGTTTTGAAGTCGGGAAACGGACTGTCTTCTTCTCGAGGGTGAAAGGGATGTGACGGTTGGGTTTCCTCTGCTTTTTGGGTGGGAAGGTGGATCGGGTCTTCTGGATGTGGACTCAGGTTTTTGTCCTTTGGAGCTGGAAGAAACTGGCTCCCGGCTTCCGGCTTCTCCAACATGGGACAACTGTCGGCAGCGAGTACAATTATATCTTCGTCCTCTGGTTTTAATTCTTTTGAATCCGGAGTCTCCAGGAAGCCTGCTTTGCAGAAAGGAAGGAAGCAAAGCGTTGTCTTTTCTACTACAGAGCTACTCCAAAGTTCTTGGAGGCTCCACTTTACAAACTGGGGGGCAGGGCGGGGGGGGGGGGGCTATCGGTTTGCACCGGTTTGGCCAAACTGGTTGCGAACCGGTACTAATTTTATGGCTGGTTTGGCGAACAGCCGAATCCAAACCCTGGCTGGCCCTACCCACCATGGACCACCCAGCAACCGGGCACAGAACTGGTTGATAAAAAAAAAAAATTTTGGAAGCCATCCCCTGTTCCAGACCATCCATGGTCACTGATGTTCCACACACACACACACACCCCACAAAGTCCTCCATCCCGTCCATTGGAGGTCCTCCAGAAATTCGGAACGAGGCATGGGGGGCGGCTGCTGTCCAGACTCGCAACCAGAAAAGGTGCATCGTCAAAGAGACAACCAAATCCCAGAGTTAGAAGGGGCCTTGGAGGTCCTCTAGCCCAACCCCCCCCCCCTGGCCGCCCACTGCTCAAGCAGGAGACTTGGGTGTCATTTCGGACAACCGGCTGTCCAGATCTTGATCAGGCTTGCGAACCAGGCTATCCTTACGGAAGGGAGGTTTCTAGGAAACTATGAACTGGAGTTGGGAAGGTGGTTAAGGAGGTTACTCCACACACCCAACTCCTTCCTAGCACTGATGATGTTCTCTAGTTGGGTCATGAAATGTCTGCGAGGAAATAACCACGCTCAGAGAACAACAAGGACCACCCCAGTCCTTTCCTCCTCCTCTTCCTCCTCCTCTACACAAGCCCCCCACCCACCCTCTTTTCTAGCACTGATGACATTCCCTAGTTGGGTCATGAAACGTCTGCAAAAATCAGCCAAGCTCAGAGAGCACCAAGGACCCCACAACCCATCCTTCCCCCTCATGCTCTTGCTCCTCTTCCTCCTCTCTACAAATCTCCTTCCTTCTAGCACTGATGATGTTCCCTAGTTGGGTCATGAAACATCTGCAAGAAAAGCACCCAGCTCAGAGACAAACCAGGACTCCACAATCCTCCTCCTCCCCTTCTGAAGGGGAAGGGATGGAATGAATGAATGAATGAATGAATGAATGGGCAGCTTATACTCCCTTTGGCCATTCTTTAACTCAATTTATTGATCGATTGATGAGCCCTTGGGCCATATCAAAGTGCAAAGTTCCAGGAACAAATTATTACTACTGTGTTTCCCCGAAAATAAGACCCTGTCATTCATTCATTTATATATACATATATACATATATTTATATATACATATATACAAAGGAAGAAGCAGCTGCAAGCTCACATTACTCTGAGAAGCACAGAGCCGGACACAAGCCTGAAGATGATGAATGAGACTTCATCGAAACGTTGCCTAGATACTTCCAATTTTACGTGGGAGAAAACCCGAATAACCAAAGATCCACATACAAATACCCGCGAGAACCTCAGAAAACAAACATATACATATATAATATATATAATATGTATGTATGTATGTATGTATGTATGTATGTATGTATGTATGTATGTATGGTATTCAGCTTTGTTCGGGTATTTTCCCACGTCATTGTAGTTGTGCTTTTAAAGTTGTAGCAACGTTTCGGCAGAATCTCATCTGCCATCATCAGGCTTCTGCATTGTGTTCGTCTGTGAGTCAGATTTTTACAGTTGTTTCAGTTTTAAATTTGGGGCTAGCCTACTGCTGTGCCAGAATGGTTTTTCTTCATCCTGATTGGTTGGGAGTCTTGGTCTGTGTTTATTGGTCTTGGAGTTTGCTGTGTTCTGCTTGA